CTTCCGTTAGATCATCCTGATTTAGCTACGTCTTACAACAATATCGGGGGTATATATGAAAGTATAGAAGAATATTCGAAGGCACTTTCGTATTATAAAAAAGCATTGGAAATCTATCAAAAAACACTTTCTCCAAATCATCCTAATTTGGCTGCTTGTTACAACAATATCGGAAGTGTATATGAAAATTTAGGTAGATATCCAAAAGCACTTTCATATCATGAACGAGCACTTGAAATTCGTCAAAAAACACTTCTTCCCGATCATCATGATTTAGCCTGTTCTATTGGGCAAATCGGAATGGTATGTTCTCATATGGGTGATTATTTAAAAGCTATTGAATGTTGTGAACGAGCTCTTAAAATTGTTGAACAGTCACTACCTTCAAATCATCCTGATATTGAATTATATAAAACAAACCTTGAACATGTAAAAAATAAACTATAAACTTTTTTTTTGTTATAAAATAAAGCTTTTAAATGTAGAAACCATCTTGGTGTGAATGTGGGTAAATAACTGATGACTTCACATCCACACTCATAAATGGGTGGAAAAGTGATTCTCACATTATAATGTTGTATTATGTTGATGATGTTATAATTATATCCATCGTTATAGTATAGAATAATTTTGAAAGTTGATTGTTTATGTGTCTGGATACATACAAATAATAATTAGTTAATTTATATTTGTTTTATTCACACTTATCGACCGTCGGATAATAGAAATAAATATCAATTAGTTGAAGATATAAAAAATCTTACGAGTATTATTCAGATGAAAGAAAACATAAGTGAAATACTCGAACATGATGTATCTTTGGTTTCTGTGATGATCTGTTTTAGTATTTAGAAAATTTACGATTAGTACGAATACATGCTGATATTCTGATCGATTTTCTCAAAAATAAAACCTGTTTTATAGTTTATTAGTCAAAGGACAAGATTACTCGTATCAAGATCAGTCATTAGTCATATGATATTTATTGAAGAAGATGATGCCACGAAGAGACAGGTAAGAAGAAAAAAACAGAGCAGCCATAATAAAAGAATTGGATCGTATTTACGATCACAAATGATATACATGACTGATAAACGACAACGAGAGGATGAGAGTGCTAGTGTTATCTATTGATTCATACTCTTGCATTCTCAAATGACAATGAAAAAGTTGAAATTAAATTTTTAATTGCATGGATTGACGAATAAAATCAAGATTTTCCTGATACAATATCGTATCTTCATGCATAGCTGGAAGCGATTGTGAAGCGATGTTAACAGCTATTCGGCAGTGCTCATATGCTTCTGATAAACGATTTAAACGCATAAGACTAATAGCAATATTGTTATGAGATAAAGCAATTAAAGGATGTTTCGATGGTAAAACTTCACGTCTAATTTTGAATGCTTTATTATGATAAAATAATGCTTTTGAATGATTTTCCTCAGCAGCAAATACACTGGCCATATTATTATAATAACTACCGAGCCATTCCTTTTTAGGTTTGATCGAGTTTAAGTCCAGCTGACAAGCATGTTGGAAATTCTCTCTAGCTTCGTTTAATTTACCTTGATTGAGATATAATAATCCAAGATTGTTATAGATTGAACTCATAGAAGGATCGTTCTCTGGAAGATGTTGTCGATCGGTAGTGAGTGCTTGTTGATAGAAGTGAAGTGCCTGTTCGATTTCATTCTTTTTCCAGTATATCATTCCTAAACGATTCAGTATTCCCGAACGACATCTCCAATCATCTTCCGTTTCCAGCGCCTTTCGATAGAATTTTTCGGTTTGTTCGTATTCACCCATTTCCCACATTAATTTACCTAATTCAATTAGTAGATTTTGTGATTTTATGAAACTACTGATGTGTCGAGCGAGACTGAGTGACTGTGGATTTCTTTCATTTGTTAAGTTAAGTTTAACATACCATATACCATCATTATTAAGTTTCATTCTCCAACCTATACGAAAAATAGAACCAATTGAAAAGAGCCATTCCTTTTCGTCTTCGAAACAACTATATTGATGAATATCGGCAAATGTAACATTGTTCGTTGGTGTATGGTTAGCTTGAAGCACGAATATGACTCCAGTTTTTGTTGGATCATTACTATTATTATCTGCAAATGTTTTTGTAACATTTAGATTTTCACTGAATGAAAGAAAATTACTGAAAAACAGTAAACCTCCTTGATTTTGTTTTAATTCTTCGAAGTCACTGTTCGTCATTAGTTGGCCTCGGTAGAGAGTCGTTGTAGAACAAGAATCCGATTTCGAATAGAGTTGAACAAGTTGTTCGTGTAGATGTCGAATATATGTACGTATTGCATATATTGTATCTATGTCTTGTATGCGTAGAGCTTTATTGAGCATTCGATACAGGAAACTCTCTTTTGTGTACCACCAAATAGATGATTTATCCGTATATTGCTGTTCTATCGTTAAAATTTCTTCAAGTATGACAGGATTATCTTTGTATTTCTCTCGGCAATATTCAATCATTTCATTTAGACCATTATCTGTCATTCGTAAAAGAATCTGTTGAAATAATTGAGTGTACATAACATTGGGATTTTGCTTGTTACTTGCTGTTGACGAAGTTGAACTTGTGATAAAAACAGATCCAGTAAAATTATTTTCACATTGTCGTACATCTTTTTTCAATTGATTAATAAGAGAACTTATCTCAGAAAATATACCTTTTACTTTCCAATAATTAGTTATCAATTCTGCTCGAAATTCGTTTGATGTGTCAAACACGTAAATTGAGTCAATTTGTGTTAAACCATGTGTTGCAGTAAGAATTTCTTCATCGCATTTGCTGCTAACAATAAAAAACACGATTTCATCACTAACAGTATTCAGATATTCAAGGCAAGCTGAAGTATCTGTAAATATTTGTACTGTATGGATGATATGCTGGAGGTCAGGTTTTTTGTGTTGAATCATATATCGCTCGTCTTTTGAGGAGAAAAGCCAAACAACGAGACAGTTCTCCATGTTTTGGTATAAGACGCGACGAGGATTAGTTTGTCCATTTTCAGCATCCAGTGTTTTGAGTTTTCCTAAAACGAAGGTAGATCCGTACGTCCTATCATCATCATTATTTGATAAATGTGAAACAGTTTGACGCCGATATTCTTCGTCTGAGTCAGTAGCCATTATTTTTATAGGATTTCTGAAATGATATTTATAAATAAAAAGAAAGAATCTGATTACAGTCCGAGACGAGATGTTAAAAAAGAAAATTCATTGTTATGGCAAATATGAATCGAGAACGAGATTTTATGCTCTACGATTGAAATATTTACCAACAATTTTATTGAAATCAGAGTGAAGAGCCATCTCCACCTTTGAAAACTAACGGGTAGACGATAAAGAATGATCCCATTCTTATTTTAACGATATCTCTTTCATGTACTATCTTAATCACTCAATATTTTCAGCAATAATCGTCATTTGACGTTCTACAAACTAATAATTTGTTGGTTAATCTTCTTAACAGCTTGCTTCCGTTGATCGATTAAAATAATTTTCGACATGATATTACCTTGATCCTTGTTGATGAAGACGGAAAAGTTATCGTAACACCATTATTGTGTTAAATGATTGCACCACTGTTTGGGTCTTGTAATGTTCACAATACTATTTAATTGTTGATATGTTTCTGACGAATCCTGCTTAGCCTCGTATTTTAAGCCCACGAGCTTTTGTAAATCTTAATTTTTTATTATTCGGAAGAAGTTTCAAATGAATATATGATATAATTAATGCCCACTTTTATGAAGCATTGAATGAGGAATCTTTTTAGGAAAAAAATGATTTGTTACGATGAAAAGCGAATGAGGTATCACCAACACTGCCTATGGTGTCCTTCTTTATAACCCATTCGTTATGAATACCTACAGGAAAGTCTCGGCTGATTTTGTTATATAATGTCAAAAAGAAATTTGTCTATGAAGTGTATCCTCTTAACCCGTCCAGAAACTTTCTGGTTGCGTTTATAATTGAAACAAATAATAAATGTGTTCAGATTTTTTTAAACTAGTATAGATTGTCATTATGAATAACAACAAGAGATACGCCGCTTGACAGTATTTTAAATTATAAATTTCTAAAAAAAAAGCGCAAATATACACGATGTCAGAAAATTACGTAAGATCTTCGACACTGTCATATGTTTCTGTATAGTCCTTCTGTTACAAAATGATTATTTTCTCCCTATTTATAATTTGAAGGTCTTTGTTTATGACTGCTAATATTAGTACTTATGGTTTCTTTTGTTAAATAAAAGTAATGATTTATATCTCAATTATTATCGTTCTAATAGTAGAATCATAGATATAGGACAATGTAATCATATAAGAAAATGTTGATTTGATATGTTATTAACCATTGCTAGATCATTCAGAATCATTTTTTCAATAGATGTCTTTCTGAAGGATTATATCGAACTGAGGAGGTTCTTTATTAGAAAGATTTTTATTAGTACAAAATTGGTTTTAAGTATCGAAATCATAAAAACCATATACGATCGTGGAAAGTTGCCTAAAGGAAAGACAACTGTAGTCTCAGCTATTTACTATAGTTATTTGACAACCAAGTGTTGAGTTTTTATACAACATAAGTAATAGAGATTTCCTGTTTAGTAATATCAGAAAGATTTTTGGACAATAATAGGCTCGTTAAACGTCAGTTTAAGTTTTTTATAAAAAAAAGAAAAGAATGATAGTTACCTGACTAATTTATTACGCTAACTGTTTTTTATTACCGAAAAATAAAAAAAAAAGAAATATGAAGAGAATATAAAGGTGTATGACAAGAGGTATAGTGTTTTAAATTGACTGATAACGTCTTCTAAAACACAAACTCGATAGAGCAAGAAAAAAAGATACAGACGAGTTTTATTTCTCTTATCATTCTTCGTGAAAACCAGAGCGAAAGAGGTATTTATAAATGGACACAATATGCTGCGTGTGGGTGTAAGTTTCCCTTTCTTTACTCATCCACACCCACACTCACCCTCCTTATTGCTAGGCGTTTAGGAATTGAAAATACGTAAATCTCACTTAAAATTTTTACCTGAAAAACATCCACATAAATTAAATGAAAGTGAACTTTTAATTAATAATATTTATCCATTATCTAATAATTTAAACGATGATCATTAATTATTAAAACATTTTCCTAAAATATTAATTGCGACATATTTATCCATGAGATATAAAGAATTATCTTTAACAAATCAATGTATTCCTTTATTTTCTATTTCTATTCAAATTTTTATTGACAAAATAAACTTATTATTTAAATAATCATTTATATTTGATAACTGATATATATTTCATTCTTTTAAAATATTCAAATTATCTTTAAAGAAGTATTAAGAAATCCAAATAAAATTATTTATTTTATTTGAAATAAATTCTTAGTTTTATACAAATAAATATTAATAAAGACAAATAACAAACGTTTAATATAACTGCCAATCCGATTTTTTTAAAAAAAATTTCAATATCAGTCACCTTCTCTACGTCTGTTTTGACTTTAATATTAAAAAAAAACATTAGTAAATTAATTGTTTTTCTTTAGTTGAATAACTTATTCTTATATCACACTTATAAATTAATTTAAAACTATATATATATGTATGTGACGCAGTGAAAATTGAAATCCAGGGCAATTCAAATCTTTCCAAGGGAAATAAAAATTTTATTCTTCTCTAGGGCAAATTAAAAATGTTTTTTTCTATATATTTCGTATGTAAAAATTGCAGATTTTGATTTGTTCTCATGTGAGGATGAAAAGAAGAAAATAACGATCACTCTCATCGGTAAGATGGTACCCTCACCTGCATACCTATACATATCTATCATCATCTTCGCCGCCATATGCTCACTCTCATACAAGTGGAAATTAAAATCTGCAATTTGTACTATTATAAAAACATCCAGAAAAAAATATTTTTTTTTCAAAGAAAATTTTCATATTAAACATATTAAAATCCATTGTTTTATTTTAGAAACAAAAAAAAGGAAATGTTCATTTAACAAATAGTACACATTTTTGATTGAGGATTTGTTGAATTCTTAATATAATCTTCATTTTTTAAATTTTTGTTAGTAGAAAATGGAAGAATATTATTTTGTTCTTTTTCATTTGCTTTATTTTTTGTAAGATTATTATTTGGTAATTTCATAAATGGTGCAAACGGACAAATTTCAGTTAATTGTGTAAATAATTGATTTGGATCATAAAAAACTTGTAAATCTTGAATTTGATAATTTTCATTAACAGTAATTTTACACATTCCATAAATTTTAACCATTTTATTAGTTGGATCAGCTTTATAAACAAAACCAGATAAACCTGGACAAGAAAAATAATCTGTCATTCGACCAAAATGTTTCCATGTAAATGTAATTGTTGGTGGACCAGAATAAAGTTCAACAATTTCCCATGCAAAACCTTCACCTAATGATCTTTTAAAAGCAATATGAGATTCTTCAAATGTTATCGCATTTGAATCATAATAATTTGTTTGTCCAATTAATGCATTATATGTACCTAATTTAACCATTTGCCAACCGGAATATTTTTGTTGACCATTACATGAAAAACGATAATTATCGAGATCAACTGTTGTCCATTGACGAGGATCGGTTTTATGAGATACTTCTATACAAAGAATATTCAGTTTATTTAAAAACTAATAAATAAATACAAACCTTTTTCCCAATTTTTAATAATATTTTCAATAATAGATATCATTGAACCTGGTTGATGATTAGTTGATTTATATTTTTCAAAAAGTGAATTTGCTTTTGTATAATTTGGAATTCCATTTCTCCATTTAATATCAGTTGAAACATCTTTTAAAACTGCATCTTTATCAATACAATATAATGGTAAACTCATTTTATTTCAATCTAAAAGAAAAATATTGTTAAACAAATAATGAATAAAAGATATTTATGAGAAGAAGAAAAAAAGAACTCATTTGTGATTCTTTTCTTAAATGAGAAAGAAAAAGAAGTAATCTTATTAAACATAACAAAAAGATTTTTTTTTTCTATAGAAAATAACATTTTTGTTCAGCGTTGATATATTATCTCAGACATTTCATTTCTATTTTCTATTTTTTTTCTAATTAAAATAATCACGAACATATATTTTACGCATGACGTTTTTTTGTTCTTGTTCAAACTCTTCTCAAGTCATCAACAAACTTAACTCGCATATTTACACATTACTTTATATTCTTCTCGATTCTTTTTCTCTTATTTATTTATGTTTGAATTTATCAAAAAACTAATCTCAAATGTTCCATATGTCGTTTTTTTTTTAATGTAAGATTTAACTAATTATCTATACATGAGATTAATATTCTTCAAGTCGCTGTTAAAATATAGAAATCTTGTCTTCTGAAACATTTTATGAAAAGAATTAATAAATAATGAATTGTTTTTTCTTAATTAAATTCAATTCACTTTTTAGATGAATAATAATCATATTTTATATTTTATTTTATGTTAAACTCCTAAACCTTTTCTCTTTGACACTAATTCACTTGAAATTATGTTGATTTCATCATGGAAATAACTTATACGAATCATCAATGTCACTTCTATGATTAGATTTGAACGAAGTCTTTTCATTGTGATAAGACAGTAAGGATAAAAAATTACCTATTCTCATCTTCAATGACATAAAAATGAGCTGTAGAAAGTAATGAATTTATTTCAAACGTCTATATACTTTCTTTCAGTTATTTATTTATTAGACTTTGAATCAAATCTTATGTTTAAATTATTTTCGTACATAATTATCGTTCTATTCAATAGAATTTCATACGTGAGTGATAATAATCAGGAAGTATATAGACGTTTGGAATAAATTTATCAAAATTTAACTGAGTTTATTACTAGTGGCAAATTGTCAATTGTTCATTTTATTATTGTTATTAGTTTTACTGTCTAACTTCTCATTTATTTATGACAGCATTTGTATCTTGTTCATGTATTTTTTTTTTGGTTGAAAATGATTGTCTAAGATGAAAAATTTCCATATTTATACAAAATTCCGCTTTGTATATCCCATTTATTTATTATACGCATATTGAATCAAATATCATATTTAAATTGTCTTTCTGCATAAAAGTATAATCTTCTCAGAATGGAGTGTTTTCAGTGTTCGTATAATGCATTCTATTAGTTTTCAGGAAATTATAAACTAAGAAAACTAGATGAGTTTCCGGAAAATCAAATATCGTTCCAAAAGCGAATTGACTGGTTCAATGATGCCGAAATATATATCACTCAGCGTCTCTCTCAATGGCACTGACAGCGAAAGACATACAGAGGGCATATTTTATTTGATTCATCCTATTGGTATACAAAAAAACTCTAAGTGCAATTAAACTAAATGAATTTCTGAAAGTCACTTCAATTTGTAGAAATTAATTGTGTTATATAATACAACGGTTTCTAGAAAAGAAAAAGACACACACACACACTTTTCTGGAACTTTCCATTTTCCGACTCAAATATCTTAGCCAAGAAGCAATCAAAAAACATTCTAACTTATTATAGGCTCTCCATGGTACTTAATTATTTCTAAGAAATATAGTTGAATCATTATGAACAAAATTAAACAATTAGTTTATAAAATTCGAAAAAAAAGATAAACAACAAATATCATTCATTTATCAACAGTTTCTTATACCACATGAAATATATGATGATTTTATAATATAAACATCTTATTATTATTATTATTATTATCGCCATTTAATTCAAACTCATTCATAGTAGAATTATTTATGACGAAAAACTAAATAATTACTTTTGAATTTTTATGGAGCATGTAGGCTAGATAAATTCAATTCGAAATATATTATATTGATTTAATAGATCTAATCATTAATAATATATAATATTTGATCGTAACAGTTTTATATTAACTATTCTATTTTATCTAATTATTATTACGATGTCAACAATGAGTAGTATATCTTCATTTCCACTTACATTCTTTTTTTCAAAAATATATTTTATTGAATATGATACAAACTAGTTTTGTATAGATTAATAAAATAAAAATAGAAATCTAAGTTTATATTCATCTAATTAAAAGTAATTACGTTTACAAGTCTTTTTATCTTTAAAAATAAATTTCATAATAGAAGTCAATGTGACAAAAAATTATTGAGTTAAAATATATGTTCGACAAATCTTCTATGTCAAGCAGACATTTTTGCAAATCATGACGAAGTATGACTTTAAATAGTCATGCTATAAAAAATCGTCTTCGAATACTTTAAATATTAGTTGCTAAAAAACAATTTCCTATAAAGATTTTCAAAGCGAGATAAGTGATACTATCTCAATCTTCATATCTATTTTTATTGTTCCTGTCAAAAAACAATATTTTTAGAATAAAACAAAATCTTATTTTTGAACATGACATCATAAAATAAACAAATACTCATACGATGCTTAATTCAAGTTCGAATATAAATATATACATACATATCCTAGTTAAATTAGATTCAATTTTGTTTATTCATATGTATATATAAAGCAGTGAATATAACTATGGAGAATGTCCGTTTATATTCGAACTCGATTTAGGCATCTACTCCAAAAATTTCAACACTTTGTGAAGTTTTAAATGCATGCTCGATTGATAAAGGAGTTTTCAAAGAATATCATAAATTAATTAAGCTTTACTTAACAGTTATGGTTACGATCGCTACTGCGAAACGTACATTCAATACGTTAAATCGATTAAAGAGTGCATTTCTAACTTCTATGTCTCAACCACGGCTTAATCATTATTTATCTATTATTTTTACATAGTATATAGATTTTCACTGAGCATCACCCAACTTCAAAATGTTCCACCGGCTCTGAATGATTTCAAATAGTAGAATTCAGAATAATACTTAGTAAGAATTATATTAACGAAAGTTTCTATAAATCTATTCAATTTGTAGAAATTCTAAAAATTTTGACACACACACTTAGAAATTATAATACCAATTTGATATTTGTCACGCTATCATAGTCTTAATAACAGTTTTCGATTATTTAGCTGATTTTGACATTGTTGTTGATGGTTTATGAGAAAAATATTGTAAATATGACGTTGAAATTGCACATGTTGATAGCGCCAGTTATACGTTAGGTTATTTATGGAATAGAACCATGATAAAGAATGGCTAATAGTGCACAAAAAGGTGCGCAATTGGACAGTAAAAAATAAGAAGATAATTAGGAGGACTGATATAAAGAAAAAATCAATGAAGCAAGAAGAAGAAAATAAAATCGATGGTGCGAGAAGAAGATAAAATATAACAAGGCAGGAGGCAAAGTGTTAGTCGTATATAACACACGTATACTATTATTTTTGTTATTAATGTGAAATACAAACATAATATATACAACAAATAGAAGGTACGCTATTTGTTTAAGTTTTTTCTTGTAGTCGAATTGAAGAGTAAGAGAAATAAGCGCTCAAATACATCAGACATTTACCATACAACATTACCGAGTGTGTTAAGCATCGATTTAGATTTAGTTTTGTAAAATTATAATTGGTAATTATGATTATATAAATTTATAGTTATTGTTTGACTGGTTTCCTAGGATAAAATCTTTATTTGATTGTTTTTATTTATTTTTGAAATAGTTGAATATCAATTGAAATGTAATGTCGAATGAAGCAACTTATAGATACACATCTATTTAAAATAGCTTGATGAGTTTTCTTCGATTTTTTAGTGCTTTACTCAAATTTAATTATAAACTTCTGATCCCTTGGATTCATTGATTTGGCTTAATATTGTTATATGGGATTTCTGGCTTTCAAAGTTTTCAAGTCGATACTGACCGTATAGCGGCAGAAATCAGATATGAATCTATGATTGATAATTATTTTTCTCATACTCTGTCTTGTTTTAGATAAACACCAACAAGGTTACCCATGGCATATAAACGTATAGCTTTTACGATTTTATTCGCCATTGTTCTTACAATAGTTATTTCATTGATTCCGTTATACTTATTGAAGAAAGAAATTGGTTTTGTGATGACTAATAGTAAAGAGAATATTATTTCCACCAAGTTTCATTCTACTTTTACATTTTTTAATAGCTGCAACTCTCGATATGTTATTTATAACTGATTTCAGTATCAGTACTGGAGAATCAATTATTAATGATGATTCACTTACCAGTCAAGTATGTTTGTATTTTTTTCTAATATAGTATGCAGTACAAGTATTTTTATTCTGCAGTTTAACGAAAAGATGGGGTATGCGGCCAACGTGCTCACTGTCAAATCGATTACATTGAACACTGGTAGTATTACAAGCACCACAAAGCGAAGAAGGCAATTACGGTCAGTTATTTTAAGATCTTCTTAGTTAAGTGAAATGCTTTACATATTGTTTATTCGTTTAGAGATACAGCATCGTGTAATACAGTTGCAACAGGTTCTAATATGAGTAACGGTAATAATCTTCGTATTATAGTCACGATTAGCAAGTGTCCAAAAACAGACTGCAGAACTTATCATTGTATTACACAATGTACACCTGATATAAAGAATGCCATAAAATCTAAATTTGGATCGACTAGAATTTCATTCACTATTAAAACAAATTTAGGATCACGTACAGCCTCATGTCAGTTTTGCACGTTTGGTCAAGTCGTTTCAGGTAAGAGAGTTAAATCGAAATGAATATCTTCTGATAATGTTAATATTAATTCAGAATATGAAGACAAATACTAAAATGATATAGTGGAAAGTGAAATTTTATCGTTTCTTTATTTCGTATTATATTCTAGTTCTTTATCTGTTGAAATCAATCTATATTTCTTTAAATATCATTTTTATACAGAAGAATTGTGTTTCTTGAAGGAATTGTAAACATAGTTTGATTTTAAGATCAGCTTTAAATTGAGAAATGCAACTTACCATTTCGGATAGTTAGACAGAATTGAGTGTTAGTTTTTCTCAAGGTCTACGAGTACATAAGAGAAAATATTTGACGACGTTATTTCAAGAGAATAATAACATTTTGCTAAAGTGATGTCTCGCAGTTACTTTGTTATCAGAAAAGTAGAACGCTCTGGTATAATTACATTAAAAAGTTGATGTCTCAACCAAAACACTACTTAACCTGCTTCATTTTCTGATTTACTTAGTGTGGAAATGCTACCTTAATATCAACGCTGCATTAGCAAATACTAGTTTTAATATTTTTATATTCGATTGAAAAAACTATTTCACTGCAAAAAGCATTAGTATTCTATTAAGAGCAGTGTTATTACAGTCTCCCTATGATAGCCTATACATATCGTATGTATGAGCAAGATTTGTACTTAACAGCTTTCAAGCATTTGAAATTGTTGCTTCATAAATGTAGATGTGAATGAATAAAAGATTAGCATCCAGACTCACACACACATTGAATTTATATTTCAATAGAAAATATTTTCCAATATAGTTTTATCTAACGTTATTAGAAATACAAATGCTTACGAAATCGATGAACATCTCAGCACTTCCGATAGCTGTTCTTAATTGATAAAGTAGATTGGTTTCATAAAATCTTACTCAATAATGTTCAAGCTTTGTATTTCGAGAAACAAATATAGATTCCTCCAGAAAACGATCGAAGGTACTACTTATAATATAGCTTGATGTTGAGTTATTTCGTGCAGATTTGGCTGCTGAACCTCGCATTGAGCCTATCATCATCCTTTTTCAACTAAATAATTCATATGAGATATTAAAACATTTAATATAGCTATCTTTTATACTTCAAGTTCGATATAAACAGAGATGACTTCTCAAGATCCGTTTTTTTGAAAGAGAAATTATTTTTTTAGTTTCGACTACGTCACCAACGACACTACCAAATATACCAACTACAACTATAACAAGTATAACATCGACAACAACATCAACAACAACATCATCAACAACAACAACAAGAACTACAACATCATTAACAACAACAAGAACTACGACAACAACAAGAACTACAACAACAACAACAACCACAACTACAACAACAACTACAACTACAACCACAACCACAACAACAACAACAACAACAACAACAACAACAACAACAACCACCACAACTACAACTACAACTACAACAACCACAACAACAACTGTTACAACAGCTATAATATGTAAGTTTTCTAATTGATGTGTAACGTTTTGATAGATGGTAATATGTTTAAAGGCTTACATCAGCTGATTTGAGACTATTTAGCACACCTAACTCTATCTCTATCTATCCAGAAACAAGAAAAATGTGCAGCTAGGACCACTGATTGTCCACTTCCTATCTCGTTTAATAGATGTCCCTCCCAAATATAACTATTTCGATTAATGCATCAAAACGTTCACGCTATTCTTTTTAGAGTCGTCTAATTGTCTGCAAATAGACACAAGAATGAGCAGCTTTAGAATGAGAAATCACGGTCCTAAAATTTTAAGAAACAAAATCCTGAACGAAAATACCATACTTTTAAATACATATATAAATAATTTTGAACGCATATCAAAACAAAAATAAACTTTTTTGCAACAGTCGGTAGACAATTTTATTTCTATTAACTCAAGTTATAGCAATCTTCCAGAAATTCTTGTATGACATTATACAAAGGGTAATTATCTTTTCGGAACATAACTTTTTATATTCCAAAGACTTTTACGTGTATTATCTTGATCTCGATGAAATATATCATTTGACAGAAAATAGGTTAGGCATTGCAAATTTTCATTGAATTACTTTTCGATTTTCATCCTTTCTTAAAATTACTAGCCGTTGTCTTCCATCCGTTATATCTATGAGGGTTATAGCTCATGAGTTGAATACAAGAGCAGAGGTGGTATCCTGTTCATTCTATAGGAACTTATAAAAGAAGGTGTGAGGAACGAAAGTGATAGATCTCTTTTTATTCTTATACTTAAAATGGTTGGTATTTAGCATAGTTAAATGCAAGAAAATCATACACACTCGTGCTTCAGGCTAATACTCTCAAACAGAAACTTTTACAACTAATTGATTATTTGATTTGAATTTTAGTACCAGATTGCAGTACTGATATTTGTTGTTCTAAAACGTGCACTGCTTGTATTTCTGATAGTACTCGTGGCTTTTGTAGTACTCCTAATAATGGTGAAAATTTTAATTTCTATTCTGCTGATTCTTCTAATTGTGATGGTAAATTTGTTACTGATACTAGTTCCAGTTGTGGAGAACATGTTCCGACAGAAGATTGAAACGATTGACAACGACAACTTTTCACTAAAACACTATCATAGACTCAAAACAAACTTCAATTTCTGTTTTTTTATTTATTTTTGCATTAATCTCTTACTAATATTTTTATCTTTATTTTTATTTTTCGTTTTCTCGATTTCTGTATCGTGTTACTAACCATAACAATAAAAAGTATTTTTTTTTTAATAAAGAAAGAAAAATAATCCATCTGGAGGGTGCGTATGGATACTGTATTCACCGAGCATCAACACCCACCCCGTAATCGGGGCATCATTATAGAATCTGATAGGAAATTTGGATTTTAAAAGTACTTTTATTGCTTATATGGCTTGATAAATATAGCCTTTTCGATAACGTCGATTTTGGATGAATGTTTTGTTGAGAAAATCGGCAGATGTGTGTTTTTTTGTTTTTCTCGTTACTTATGAGAATTCGCAGTCTGTTTTATTCTTATTTATTCTCATGAAAACGGTAACTGGCAAAGGTTTTTTATTCATTAGTAACTAATCTGACTAACACACGATCAACTTGATGAAGATTTCTTTGTGTATCATCGCGTTTCTCTTGTTATTTTTGATAGCTGCAGGTACGTTATCTCTAAATCGTTAATAGTGCATATTAGTTTATAAAAACATACTAAACAATGATTCGTTAGTACTGCTTTGATTATAGAAAACTTTTCTTTCTTAACTGAATCTCAGAACTTATATACATACATTCAATATCACCCCCACACTTTCACGACTCATTCTCGGATAAACGATATTTTAAAAAATCATGGAATTATTGAAAGTTTTTCTATTTTAGCACAAGAAACAGTAAGTCACGGCTCTGTTTCTGGAACACGATACAGCAATGTGCCTTATAAATCAGGAAATAATCTTTCCAGCTATGAAAAAGAACGTTGCAAACTTGATATTTATATTCCGAGATCAAGTGGTACAGCACCATTTCCAGTTATCGTTTATTTTTATGGTGGAGGCTTGAATTCAGGCGATAAGAGCGAAGGATGGGCAGACTGGAGTAATAACTTTGGATTTAAGTTCCTAGAAGCTGGTATTTCTATGGTCATGGTCAATTATCGATTGAGTGGACAGCAAGGGACAAAATGGCCACTGTATATTCAAGATGCCGCTGCATCTGTTGCTTGGGTAGCCAATAATATTGCTCAGTACGGTGGTGATCTTAATAATATTTTTGTCATGGGTTTCTCTGCAGGCGCTTATCTTACTCATATGTTAAGTATTGATTCAAAGTGGTATACAGAAATTAGCTTTGATCGTAATCGAATAAAAGGATATATAGCAATCAGTGGTCAAACTCGGACGCACGGAACAGTTGCTGCAGATCTTGGTATTCAACAGAATCAACTAATGACCCTCCGTACTGATGCAATGCCATTCGGTCATGTTAAGAAAATAGAAAAACCAATTCATATTTTTGTTGGCGAGTATGAAGGTCAGACTATAACGGATAACTATGCATACTATAATCAACTAATAAGCAAGGGCAGTACAAACCTTTTTATTTATACTAATCTTGGAAAAGATCATGGAGGTATGCGAGATGGTTTGGGTGATGCTAGCAGTCCAACACGTTCGAAAATCTTGGAATTCATTCGAACCGGTGCAAGTACTGTAAATGTAGCACCTAACATTGCCTATCGTAAACCAGTTACTGCTTCATCAACTGAAAATACAGCAAATACAGCAGACAAAGCAGTCGATGCCGACGGAAATACACGTTGGGCAAGTACTAGTAGTGATACACAATGGATCTATGTGGATCTTGGCGCAAGATACGCTGTGAACCGTGTGAGAATTGCATGGGAGGCCGCTTGTGCAAAGAACTATTATTTGGAATCTTCTGACGATGCAAGATCATGGGCAAATATAAGAACTGTGACCAATAATGTCGCTCTTATCAATGATCATACAGGTTTAAACAGAAATGCACGTTATATTCGAATTTACGCTACGCAACGAGCAACTACTTATGGATATTCAATTTTTGAATTCGAAGTATATGGAAATTGAATTGGCCAAAGGACATAAAGTTATACGAATACATTACTATTCTTTCAATTATTTACAGTAAAAATATATTGTAAAATATTTCAGCAGAAGATGTCCGTTTATAATTCAGAATGATCGCTTAGATTTATACTCAAAAAAGTTTTTTTTCGTTGAGTTCTATTTTAAAAATTGTCACACAATACTAGAAGAAAGTAAGTGTTAATCACGCACTGATATGTAGTCTCAAATCAATAAAATGAAAAGTCGAAAAATATTCAGATAATTAAACTCGTTGTGGGTGTACATAGAAGCTTTTTCTTTATTTATGTTAATTGTTAAGAAGGTGAAAAAAAGAATAAAAAAATGCTTATCTTTTATTTGGCAATGAAAATTGATAAGATATATTTTTTTCTTTTTTGTTCTTTTGAATTTATATGCAGAAGTACTGCTGCAATAAATACGTAACTAAAATGAAAATATGCTGACTTGTGTTGTATAGAAATTGAATATATATTTTGATGAAATTTCATATCTCGATAAAATGATTTATTACA